CACCGTTTTTTTTTTTTCTGTTGAACTACTTTCTGCTTTTACCTCGATTATTCTCCACTTGGTTTCTACATTCTGTTTCGCTCTGACTTCCTGTGACGTGGCCGTACGTCCCTCATCGGTGGTCTCTGACGCCCATAGGCTGCAGGTGTTTCCTAGGTCTCGTCTTGGCAACCCTTCCCTGAACTTCCTTTGCAAGGTGCCTCCTTGTTTTCATTCCACTTCTCCCCTGACAAGGGATTCTTGGAAGTAGTGTGTTCCTGAACTGTGAGTTACTCGGCCATTTCCTAGTTACCTGTTTGGTTCCTGAGCACAGGTTCCGCGCCGTCGTGTCAGGGGGTGGGGGCTCCCTCTGATGTCCTCAGCCATTGGGGGCCTCTCGGGTTCTGGGCTCTGCACCACCGGCAGCTCGAGGCCGCGGGTCCTCTCCTCCTTGTCCTTCAAACGCTTGCTGTCGTTTTCTGATGGCTCTGTCAAATCGATCTAGATTTCCTCATCGTCTCTGAGCGGCTTGTCAGTTTGTGCCTCCTAAACTCTGAAGTAACACAGTGGCGTGTAAATTCAGCTCCTTCCGCGTTCCTGGAAAACGCATCCCTTCGTCGTCAGGAACCCCCGCCCCCGGGATTTGCGGCCCCACAGTCCGCACTGTCTGCCCGCGCATCTGCCAGCCCTCTCCGAGTGCGTGCAGCAGAGCGGGTCTCCTCGCACCGCTCACGGCCGCCTTCGCCGCTCTGGTCTGCGGCCGCGCCCGCACACGCGTGCTGCGGCGTCTGTCCCGGCCGGGCTGCCTCTGTGGGAGGTCGTCCGCCGGTGCAGGCAGGTCGGCTCGGCCGCCGCCCCCCCGTCCTGTCTGTCCTCCTCCTCCTTGCCTTCTGCTGTGGGAGCCGCGGTTCATTTTGGTTCTCCGTCCCCTCCTCCCAACTCCCGCAGACCTGTGGCAGCTCCTGCAGCTTCCGTCAGGACCCTCACAGCCGCCGACGGGACGGAGTATTCGTTCGGTGTTTGCAGAACACGTGACGACCTCTCACTCGCCTCCTGCTCACGTGAGCCCGTGTCACGGCTTCAAGTCCTGCCCGTGTCCGTGAGCCCGGGACGGCGGTCCCCCCCCACCAGCCCCCCATTGTTGCCGCAGCTGGTAACTCGCATCCACCCCCCACCCCGTGTGCTCCCCTCCCCTCCCCGCTCCTCGTCCTGCGTCTGTCTGGGAGCCCCCCTCCTCCCCGGAGACGTGCCGGGTTCGGGGGCTCTGGCTCCTGCGTGCGGCTGTGGGGGCTGCACGCTGCTGCCTCACGTTCTGTTTGCCTGGGAACACCACGTCTCCCTCTTCCTCTTCCAGAATGTTCTCTCAGGGCAGGGGCTGGTGGGCTGCTGGCTTTCCCCTTCCGCCTCCCTGCCTGGGGCGCCCCCTGATGTCCGGTCGTCTCAGGTTCGCCCCGTTGCCCCTGACGCCTCTGCGCGGCCCTGTGCGGGGGAGGGGGGCTGGAGAAGCTCTGCCCGGGGAGGGCTGTGCCCTCAGCCCAGGAGGAGGCTGGGGCTCGCCTCCCTGTCCGGAGACCCCAGGCGGGTGCACGGCCGGGGCCAGGGGCCTGGCTGTCAGGGGGAGGGCGGTGGAGCTGCCAACGTGCAGCGTCCGCAGAAGCGGAGGGAGGGGGGTCGGGTGGGGAGTGGGGGGTCGTGGTCGACTCGGACGGGGTACAGCGTGTTACTGGGAGGGTGCTGCGGGCGCCACGGTTTTCGCAGCTTAAAAATGACACACACATGACACCGTAGGTAAGGGGACTGAAAGGAAACGTAAAACCGACAGTAGAGATGAAATAAACCCCCCGAAATGGGTAACGTTACTTTCTGAGGTAATCATCTGTCAACCTGACATGATTCCTCCTGGTTTCCTCGATGTTTGCACGCGCGTGTGTAACGCACACACGTGCACACACGCACGCCTGCGGCAGGTGGCACGTCCTCCCTCCGGCCTGTGCCCTGCTTCCTGCACCCGACACCCCGCGGCTAACGCTCCGCGTCTCTCTGCTGTTTCTGGACTCATCGCAGGAGCAGACCGGCTTGTCTCGCACGATGGATGGGTTTTTGTTTATTTAAACTGTATCTGCACGATCCAACGCTTAGGTTCTAGTTTTTATTGTTTTTGTTTTATTGCTTTTTAGAGACAAAGGGGGAGGAACAGAGAGAAAGGGACACCAGCTGGTTGTCTCCCACACGCGCCCCAACCAGGAACCGAGTCCGCCACCTGGGCTCATGCCCCGATCGGGAATCGAACCCACGACCTTTCCGTTTGCGGGACGATGCCCAACCCACCGGGCCACCCGGCCAGGGCAGGCTGCTCTAGTTTTTAAAACCTACTGTTACTGCAGTGGCTGTAAGCCTCTTTTTACACAAACCTTTGTCTTCATTTCTGGGCATTTCGTTAGAATAAATGAGCAGAGGTAAAATTATAAGTCAGATGTTACGAAGTTTCCGGGATCATGATGGGTCACCGTTCATTTCTGATCTTCCCCGAATCGAAGGCTCACGTGGGCGTCTCGTGTCCGCCTGCCTGCAGCCCGTTGTTTCGGGGAGGGGGCAGGGGGGGCGCCGTGTGTGTTCCGACGTTTGCTGGCCGTTTCCGCTTCTTCCGAGCATTCTATGTGCAGACCTGCGTTCACTCTGCCACGGGAGCGCTCGTGACTTTATTTCTTAAGGAGTCTTCGTCTGGTATCGACACTGCCGTTTCTGGTGTTCTCGAGGTCTGTTTCCAGTTGGACTTGGGTCTTTTTCTTCTGTAGGAGCTGTTTCCAACGCCTGTGAGTTGTGTGTGGCCAGGCTGGGCTGGGCCGACGTCCGGCCCCTCCCCTGGCTGGTGTGGGGGGGGACCGCAGCTTCCCTTGGGAGCCCTGTCTCAGGCGGGGGTGGGGGCCGGGGAGTGCTCTCTCCGCCGTTTCCCGGGCCAGAGTGGCACGTCTGGGGCGGGGGTGGGCGAGAGTCGGAGAGTCTGAACGTCTGCTCACACACGGGGCAGCGTCTCCTGCGTCCTTCCCCCGGACACCGCCGTTTCAGTGACGTGTGGGATGCAGAGCAGTGAGTGAGGTGGTGGCCAATCAAACAGAGCCTGCGGGGGCCCCCGGAGCGGGGAGGGTGGACGCCTGCCACGCAGGACAGAGCAGCGTCCCCCCCAGGGGTGCACGTGCCCGGGGTGCTCGTGCCCGGGGCTGCCCCGAGCCCGGCGGAGCAAGCCCAGGCCACGGCGGCTCCGGCTGCGTCCCCCGAGACGGCCAGCCCCCGCTCTCCGCTTGCTTTTGAAACGACATCTCCAGCGGGTCAGCCCCTTTCCAGCCGTGGCAGCCTGCCCACTCAGACGCTCTCCTTGGCCGTGCATTCGGCTTTTACAAACACTCGAGCCGTTTAAGGGAACTTAGAGTGAGACGCGCCTCCTTGACTCATTATTAAGCTGCTTTTACAGAAAGGGGGTGGTTTGCTGTGGACGGCGTCGTGTGTGGGAAACGCCTTCTCCCTCCAGGTTGTCCCCACGCCGCTGCCCCGGCGTCTGCGGGGAGGGGCCCCCGCGCTCAGGCCCCTCGCGGACAGGCAGGCAGGCAGACGGTCGGTGGTCAGTCCTGACTCACAGCACGTCCAGGGAATCGCCACCTCCCTACGGAGGGAGAAGGAGGCTTCTGGTGCGGCTGCGTCCCAGTCAGAGCCCGTCCGTCCCCGGAGTGGTGAGCACCGCTTGGTCGCGCTGTGGACAGGCAGGTGCCGGTGTCCTCCCCATCACGGACTGTCAGCCCGGGTGCTGGCCACTGCCGCTCTCACGGGCGTGGACTGCGACCCAGACCCTCCCTCCGCCTCAGGGTCCCGAAGGCTGTCGTGACGGCTGACGGACCTCCTTCCCGTGGAACTCGCCCACCTGGTTTTCTTCTCCTTTCCTGCTTCAGCGTGAACCGACCGGGCGACAGTGGGTGCAAGCCGGGAGCCGGGCGTCCTGTAGCGTGGTCGAACGAGGACCCGTCCGTCCCCTCGAGGGCCAGCCTGGAGCTGCCGGGCTGATCGCGTGGTCTCGGCACCGGCCGCTCTGCTCGGGGTGCCCGTCTGCGGCCACCCTTGTCCAGGAACAGCGCGGTGTGGTTCAGACCCATCTCGGTGACTCAGGGTCCCCGGGAAACGTGGATCCCGCCGGCGTGTGTCCAGTGGGCGCTGGGGTCCACCCTCCGTTCTCCCCGGCCCCGAGGGGGCGGGGCTGACGCGGGGCAGGGTGTGGCGTGCAGGGTGCCTGGCGCTGACCTGACCCACTCACGTCGGGCAGTGGCCACCGCGGGTCCGTCCTCACCGGCATCGGCCGCACGGTCGCTCGTGAGAGCCTCTGGCGTCTCCCTCGGCACAGCGGCCCTGGGGCGCCCCTCGTCCTAGGTTCCAGTTTTTAAAGATGCCAAGGAAGCAGAAGAAAGGAAAAAGGAAAGAAACCAGCCAGGGAGCAACAACGAGAAATTAAAAAAAAAACGTGGCTAATGGAGTATTTTAGTCAGTTTCTTTTTCTGATGAACTTTCTTTGCTTTCCTGTGGAACAAGAGCCGTTTTACATGCAAGTGACTTGCATTCAAAGTGAGTCACACCTGCCACTTTGATCGGTTGGAGTGTAAGGACGTGAGAACAAATGACGACGCCCCGGAGCTCTGTCGTGGGCAAACGTGCCTCTGGCGGGTGTCGCTCGCGCTGCCTGGGGGCGGGGGGGGGCGGGGGGGGTTGGTGGGCTGTGTCCCCGATGAGGACGGCGGCTGCAGGCTGAGCCCTCTGCCGCCGTTCCCTTGGCCGTGCCTTTCACACTGGGCGTGAGTTTCTGCGATTTCCGGGCCCCAACCCTGGACTCCGGGCTGTGCCGACCCCGTGCGGGTGCAGGCCCCCGTCCTGCGGCCCCGGATGGACAGACAGACGGACGCACCTGCGTGTGCTGCCTGGCGCGCAGTGGGGGGCGGGGTCCCTTCTGCCGTCTTCAGAACCGATTCCCTTTCTTTCTTCAGTGGGAACGGCCCGTCGTGCTTCGGCCTCGGGGACCCCGCGCCGTGGAATCGCACCCGTCGTTGCCGTTGTTCGGAAATGTCTGGCTGAGCGGAAGCCCGACCTTCAGTCCTGGCGCTGCGACCTTGGTGTTTCAGGTTTGGATGCGGGCCGCTGTGTGAGCAAGTCCGTGGCGGGTGGTGGGTGACGTGGGTCCGTGGACCCGGCGGCGCCGGAGGCACCGGCCCGATCGCTCGTCCTGCCCGCCTTGGGCACCGGTCGGCCGCGGGGAGGCCGGGATGACCGCCCGCCTCGCCGTCAGGGCCGTGTCCACCACCACCGCCCGCGTCCGGTCGGCCTCAGGGCTGATCCGGAGTTCCCGCTGTGCTCTGCTGCTGATCCCGTCAGAGCCCCGGGGGCCCTCGGTGCAGAGCCGGGTGACACCCCCGGGCCAGCGCGTCACAGGCTCTCGCCGGGAGTTCGCCCTGAATCCCTGCCTCCCTGGCACAGTCCTCCCTTCACCTCCTGTCAGTTTTCTCTCCATTTGCTTCATTCCCTGAGGCTTCCAGGGGGTGACGCCCCCCCCAAAGGGCTGTGTGCTCTCCCACAGGGAGAGCCAACCCTGGAGACCCGGTGGGGCTGGTCTGCCCCAGGGGGTGGGGGGCGGGGCCTGGGGCGGGGGCAGGGGGCACACCACGCAGCACCCCGGGTGTGAGCCGGGGAGCAGGGTGGGCTGAACACCTGTGACCGCAGCACCTACCCCTGTGGCGCCTGTGCTGTTCTCCGTCTGGAGGCGTCTCTGTGGAGGAGACCGGGGTCTTCCTCTGTCTGTCCGTCTGTCCGTCCCCCGAGAGCCCCCCATGCCACGTTGCTCCGGAAACTGGTCTCCCCCATCCCACGAGCTTGGAAGGCCTGCGGCTCGGTCTCTGTGTCGTGCAGCAGGGACGGGCAGGGCAGGCATCCTCGGTGTGTTCAGGGCAAACTCGCCGACCTCCCTCAGCCGTCCAAGTGGCGTCCAGTATGAGGGAGGAAGGACAGCAGCGGAGTGTCCTCGAGACGCCGCCCCCGGGGGCCCTTGGCTGTAAGCTCGTCGACGGCCTCTCCTAGTCTTGGGGGAGATTTGGGTCCTTGGCATGACCCCCAGTCTCTCCGCCCTCAGGGCCCCATGCCCCCTGGGCAGGGCACCTCAGCTCCGGTCTGACACCTGGGGGGCCTCCCCGAGCCTGCCCCGCAGAGTCCCCGGGGGCCAGTGTGTCCCCTGCCCAGCTGGCACCCGCTGGCCTGTCAGACGGGTCCCAGACAGCTGCCCGTGTGTGTGTGCGTGTGTGTGTGCGCGTGAGCATGCGTGTGTATGACCTGTGTGTGCGTGAGCGTGTGCACGCCCCGTCCCCCTCCAGCCCCGTTTGTTCCCGGCCCTGGGCATCTCCTGGAGGTCCCACCTCGCTGGCTCTGGGAGGCTCAGGGCGTCGGGTCCCAGGGGCGGCCGGGCTCCCCCAGGGGCAGACGGCGAGGGAGGGGCCGCCTCCCAGCGCCCGTGGTCTCTCAGCGGCCTCGGGACATTCCTCCCGAACTCGGGCGGCAGAGCTTTCCAAGAAGCTTCCGTGGCAGGAGGGCACTGAAGGCAGCGATCGCGGGCGCAGTGTGGGCAGGTTGCTAGGCAACCGCGGTGCGGGGCGGCCGGTGGCAGCATCTGCGGCAGATGCGGCAGCCGGCACAGACCCGGCCCGACAGCCGGGAGGCAGCTGGCTCTGTCCCCAAACCCCACGGGGCCCCGGGGGCGGCCAGCAGGACGTCCGGCTGGGGATTAATTTCCCGGCTGGAGCAGCGGCACATGATGCCCTGCTTCCCACTCAGGAGTGTCCTGGTGTCCGCTGTGTTCCCTGCCCTTCAGAGACGCACAGACCAGGGCCCGCGGGACAGGCCGTGGTGGCCCCATGGGGGACGGCTGGACTTGGCCGGTTTCCCTACGTGGCCCACAGCCACGGAGCGCTCAGGCCTGGAGAGCCGGCACCACGGCCCCCGAGCCACGTCAGCGTGGCAGGGGGCTCAGCCAGCACCCTCCGGGGCTCGGGCAGACGTGAACGTAAGCGTGTTGGTGGTGAACTCGAGTGTCGGGCACCCTTGTTCTTAATGTGACTCATTTGTTGTGCATTTACAAAATTCAGTTTTGGGGACTGGCTGTGCTCAACGCCAGCTCGTAAGCTGCTGAGAATTGGAGGCAGCTCCCTGGCCCAGGTGCGGCCTTGGCAGCGGCACACCTGCATGGCTCCCTCCGGCCCTCACCCACCCGGACGGACGGCCGGTCTCGGTCCCTGAAATCCAGGCGCCGGCGGGTCCTTGAGGTGACACTGCTGCTGTGTGTGTGACGGGCGGGAGGCCTGGCGGAACCCCCCCGGCCGCTGACTTCCTCTGCGTTCACGTGGTGTCGTCAGAGCTGAGAATCCACACATCAGCTCCCTTTTGGGTCCAGGAGGGTGCAGTAGACATGGTCCTGCAGAACCAGATCGACCTCCTGGTTCTGAACAAGCCCGTGTGTCTGTGTCCTGCGACCACAGTTTTCAACGTCCTCACGCGGGGATGTTCGCCGACTTTGGAGGGGGAGGAAGCAGGGGAGAGGGGAAGAGAGACAGTCGGCTGGGCGGCTCCTGCGGGCGCCCCGGGCGGGGGTCCAACCTGCCACCTTTGCGTGCGTGGGGCGGCGCCCCATCCCGAGAAGCCGCCCGGCCAAGGGGCCGTCGTGTTTTTAAAACACGGGTCCAGTTCCAATTCCTGTGTTGGTAGGTACTTGCACAGATTTGAAATGCTTTTATGAAAGTAGTGTAGTTTTTTTACTCCACAGTAAAACTACTTGGTGTCTGTAACACACCTTTCAGGGTGTTCCCAGCGGCTGCAAGAGTACAACAAAAAGCATCCAACATACACAAGCAGCTGTGTGGGAGCGGTTATGTGAGCGGTCATACATGGGCAGCTGTGTGGGAGCGGTCATGTGAGTGGTCATACACGAGCAGCTGTGTGGGAGTGGTCACACATGAGCAGCTATGTGAGCGGTCATACATGATCAGCTATGTGGGAGCGGTCACACATGAGCGGTCACACATGAGCAGCTATGTGGGAGCAGTTATGTGAGCAGTCACACATGAGCAGCTAGGTGTCGTTTCCTCCCGGCGCGGCCGAGGGTCGCCCCCGGGCAGGTGGGTGCACCTCCGGCTCTAGAGGGCGGCTGCCGCGGGCTCTGGGTGTGCGAGGAGCGGCGGCGAGTGAGCCGCCGCGTCCACACTCGCAGCCTCTGCTGGGGTCCGGGGCACACCCGCATGCCCTGCCTGTCCCCAGCAGGGGGCGCAGCGGCGACCGCCACGTCCGACCTCGCCGTTCTGGGCAGGCGTGTGAGAGGACGCATCACCTCCGTCGCCTGCGGCCCCCGACTCCCCGTGGCTCAGTGAGACGGTCTCCCTCCCGTGCAGGCGGCCCGCGGCGTCGGGCCACCCCGTTCCCGGATTCAGAACTGGTTTCGGGGCCTGAGCGGGGTCCTGTCACTAGCGAGGCAGAGCTGTGTTCCGAGGCCCCCCGGGTCCCCCCCGCCACCCTGGGTTCCCTGGCTCTGTAACCGCTGCCCGGCAGGTCGGGCCCCTGGTGCAGACTCTCCCGGGGGCGGAGACCCGTGGAAACGTGAGATTTTGCTGGATTTGGACGGGCGCGGAGGAGACAGGGAGGCTTCGGAAGTTCCGTGACCGGGGCACTTCTGTGGTCGCGAGTGCACACGTAACCGCTCCACGGAAATGCCGTGGGGGGGTGCAGGGGTCAGAGACCGTGGCCTGGTGAGTGGGCGTCGCTGGAGGGGCCCACGGGGGCCGGGCTGTGGGACGAGCGAGCACCCGGGGCCGTCGGTGGCCCGTGGGTGCGCTGGGGGGCCCTCCTGGGTGACCTGCCCAGCCTGGGGGTCTCGGTGCAGAGTCCTGTTTGTCCTCCTGCCATCAGCGGCCCCAGCCGCGGGCCGCCCCTCGGAGCCCCCGCTCGGAGCTTGTGGGGCCCCTCAGCGCCTCCTCGCTCAAGGACGGTCACTCGTCACTCGCAGCTGCTCGCGGTGATTCATGGCGTCTCCGTCCCCACCGGGCGGACGCTCGTTCATCACCACCCCTCCGCCGGCCGCCGCTCCCGTGGGGACCGCGTGGCTGGGACGGTCGGCTCGTCCTCGGTCCGCCCTGCCGCGGCCTTCAGCCACCCCCTCCCGCGGCCGTGAGCGCCCGGAACAATCCTTGACCTTGGGACCTGCGTCCTCTCTGAGACACGGGAACTCGGGAGCTGGGCAGGCTGATGGGCGCAGCGGCTATTTCTGTGACCCGTCTCCAGGCTGTGCGGGACGGGGCTTCGGGCGGCCCGGACCTGCTGCTGCTGATTTGTTTCCTGCTCGCGCTGCTTTTTCTGGCCCTCGAAGGGCGATCGGCTGTGGGCTCCAGCAGCGAATAGATGCTCCCCCGCAGACCCCTTCCCGGCCTCCCCTCCCCAGCGAGCAGGGACGGCGAGTGAGAGCCTGGGCGCCCTCCGCCTCGGGCGTGGGGCCTGCGAGGACCGGCAGCGGCCACAGCTGCTTCTCCGAGTGCGCACGCCGGCCCCCGCACCCCGGAAGGCCTTCCTCCCTCCCCCCACCCCCCAGGGCCCTGCTCTGCCGGCCCCCTCAGCCTCCTCGGAGGGGGGGTCAGAGTCCCAGCTCCACCTGTGGGGGGGCATGTCCCCCCACGGGGCTCCGGAGGAGGGGTGGAGGAGATGGTTTCTGACGTGTCTCCTGGTCTTAGACAGTTGGTGCACTTTTCAAGGGAAGACTTTATGTTTACAGCAGCGTTGGATTCACCGCAAAACTGAGGGGAACGCACAGAGATTTCCCACATATGCCCCCCCCCCCAGGCACAGCCTCCCCCGCATCAGTGTCCCCACCTGGTGGGACAGTTGTCACAACTGACGAACCTGCACTGACACGTCAGCGTCACCAGCGTCCTTGGGTGACATCCGGTCACCCTGGGTGCTGCACATTCTGTGGGTTTGGGCAAATGCACAAGGACATGTGTCCACCATCACAGCGTCTCACAGAGCAGACTCGCTGCCCCAGACCCTCTGGGCTCCCCTGTGCACCCCTCCCCCCACCCCCATGAGAACCCCCGATCTG